GTGAGGTTTGGGCAAGAGCTTTCGTGTCCATTTCAAGGGGGAGCAGATCAGTCTCTAGGACATCTTGAGCAGGTTTCCTGCCAGCTCATTAGGCTCATAGGATGAGCTGAATTCTAGAGTTGGCTGGAGGGTAGGACCCACCAGTCAGTGGGAAACCAAGTCCTTGCAAAGCAGCAGCACTCCACATGCTCGTACCAATTCTGGAGCACCAGCAGTGCCTTGGATAAGTTCTCTAAGTCCAAGAATAAAATCCAAATCTTTCAGGATCAGACACTTTGAGAAAATCTTTAGAGGAGCCCCTTATTTTCTCTAACAGATATATTTGGTCTCAACCTTTGTCTAGGATTTAAAACCAGTTCCCTCGAGAAAGGTACCTGAGCCAGAAAAGACTGCCTTGCAGGATGGCAGCCAAACAGGGGCCTGACAGTGACCCAGGGCACAATTTACTTCTTAGGTCAAGGCAGCAAAGTGATCCCTTAAACTTTTCTAGTTAGCAAAGACACTCTTCCAAGAGGCAAACAGAGAGTGCCAGGAGCCCTGATGTGCAGGCTGGGTACCATTTCCCAGCCCTAGGATGGCCCGGCAGGTTTCCAACCTGGAGGTGAAGGGGAGGAAAAGCGCCACCTGTGGACAGGGAGGGAATCGTGCCAGTATACTCCTTCCACCCTGAACTTCCTGACCCTTCTCTCTGACCCGGTCTTGGAAAACAGTGTTAAAGAAAGAATTTAAAGAATATTTTTGGAGACAGGATTAGAGAGTAATGGGGCTAGAAACCTAGAAGTTTCCCTAGGAGTATTCACAGTTGGGAGTAGCTACAACTTTAAGTATTTATTCCTGATCGCTGTGCCTCGGGAATCCCCATCTTCTATACCAGGATGGGTTTTCCCAGCCCGGGTTTCTCCCACCCTCTGACCCCAAAGGCTCATGTTGGAGCTCCCCTTCTCAGCGATCATGAATCTCTGGGCCTTGCTTATGCATCTAGTCTTACCTGTCTGAGATCTTCCTTTTGATTCAAGAATCGGTAACTGGAGTGGGCTCACCCTCATGGCTTCTCCATCCAGCCTTTGTGTATGGAACAGGTTGCTTTTGTTACAGAAGTTGGCTTTCTTCTTAGACATCCCCAAATGATTTGAGACCTGCCCTCTGATCCAGGTTAAACAGGGCCAGCTGGCTGGAGCCCAGCATGATTGATTATTTGCTGTGAGTGCTGAAAATAGATCAGCCTTTCTTCCAAACAGCAAAAGTCAGCTGCAGGTGGATCTTACTTTTTTTCCCTTCTACATAATCCGCCTCTCACCCACTTAAATTCTCACTCCATGTGACTAGGCCTTCCTGTGAAATCAGGGTAGGTCTCGGTGATAACTCAGAGGGGACACTGGGAAGGACCAGAGAAGCTGGGCAATGGGGACAGCAGGAACATAAAGAGGGGTGTCCTACTGTCTGGATCTAAAATTCAGTTTGGATTCACCTGTATAATTTCCTAACAAGTAGTCATATTCATGGAGCACCCATTTCTATGCCATGCACAGTGCATATCACAGTGAAGAAAAATCAGAAGCAATCCGTGCCATGGGGGAGCTCAGTCCAGGACGCTCCAGACCAGCGGCGGGTGCTGTCTCACCCTGACCTCTTTCATTCTCACCCTAGTTCATGCTCCTCATCTTTCAATTAAAAATGTAAAACCCTCCACTTCTTTTTTTTTTTTTTTTTGAGACAGAGCCTCAAGCTGTCCCCCTGGGTA